AAGATTTGAATGTAATTCATGGAAGCAAATGATACCTGAGTTTAGGGTGAACTGTTCGTATCGGAGATCCTTTTAACCTATTGCTGGACGTATCCAGTCGTTCATCTCTCATCCTGGACAAAAAAAGCATTGAGTAAAAAAGTTGCTAGCAGAATATTTTTTAGCCAAATTTTTTTGGACAAGACTGAGGCAGCTCACTTGAATAATTCAGATGCGGACGGAATAGATGCTCTGGGAGACATGCGATGTCGCTGCTGGATGCGCCATTCTGCTTCGAAGCCAGCCCGCAAATGATCAATCACAGATGCTATCAGTAGCCTCCACAATTTTCTGAAAATGATAAGACATCTCAGAACAGTGGAATCAAACACTGCTTATAACAAGCAGGTCAAGAATTCCTCAGCTTCAGCTTAATTCTACACAATTTTTGGATGGATGAAATGCAAACGCGCATTTTGAAAAGACTTCCTCTGTATCCGTGTACCTGCAAGATTTTTCAACTCCGCGACTGACAAATCGAGATTTTGAAACTTCTAGTATTTAACTGTTATCCCTATTGCCAAAACCGCGAAGACCTCTCTGAGAATCGGTGTGGGAATCCGATGTCACTTCTTCGAACTGACAAATCGAGATTTTCAAATTTACTTTTGTGCTCTCGGTTCAATCGTTCTCTTTTAATGTCGCCATTAGTAACCTTTCTCTTTTCACAGATTACATTACGCTTTGAAACTGATATTTTAACAAACTTGCCCTGCTTCTTTGCTTTGTCGTATTCCTTCGAGTTTCAGAAAGGTTTCAGCTAGTAGCTGACCCAAAATTTCAAAATCATCTCCAGTTATAAAGAAGTGTTCACGCAGTTTTGCGTGACATGCGCCAACTTCTTTTAGACCTTCAATAGCCTCCTGAAGTTCTATTTCTCAAATGAATTTAATTAATTCATAACGAGCAAATTTCAAGTAATATGCTTTTTTGAACTGAATATTGAATTTCCAGTGGGATGTAGCAAAAAGCCACTTGATAATACGCCATCACCGCAAGAAGTGCTATCCTGATCGCTAAACATTTCAGAACATGTCAAACTGCAGGATTTGATCCATCACGTAAAAATATTCCTGGGTTGGTATCATTCATCTGTCCGATGCATACGCATACTCTCTTCAGAAGCCACCCTTAGTGGTGTATTTTTTCGTAGATACCGCTCACTAATGCGTATCGATTGTCAGCAAAATAAGCAACATGCTCTTTAACTTTTAAAGAAAATTTAATTTATTGGTCACAACTTGCCGATTCTCGGCTGATTTTGGAGTTCCTTTCGCATGTTTTTCTCTTTCCAAATATGGAATGTTATAGTACCTCTTCGCCATCAACAATTCTATTGATTACTGCTACCATATAGCTTGCATGATCGCTTATAGTGCGAACGCTTGCCGTGCTGGTACTCAACTGACTGTCCACACAGCTGAATGCCATCTGCACGGATGGACGAGCTATCTCCAGCTGCAAAAAACAGCTTGTTCAAGCAGACTCAGCACATTATTAACATTTACCGTAAAAAAAATGAAGTAGTGCTGGCATATACCAGACAGTCAAAACCGCCATTAGCTTGCTTCTAAGTAACATTCAAACGATAGAGACCTCGACAACTTTGCCAGCGGTTGGTTGCTGTTATGTAGAGCGAGCAAATGGCGTGCAGGAGAAGCAAGGAGCAATCCAGAAACGTGCATCAGTTTGACCCGTGATCTGTCCCGCCCATTGTGATGAGTATTTAAGCGTGTAAAATTGTTGTAAGATTCAGTGTGTATGTTCAGTATCGTCATCGAATGCGTCTTCCGTGTATCGTCGTGTATCCCCCCCCCCCCCCCCCC